TAAACTGAGGGATTATGAGCAACTATAGTCGCTCTGCATAAGATGCCATACTATGATTGACTATAATTGCTCTGCATAAAATGTCACTGAGATACTACAGGTGATTATAGTTGCTCTGAATAAGATGCTATTGAGATACTATGGCCAATTATGGTCACTCTGCATAACATACTACTGAGATACTACGTGTCTCTATACTATATATATAGTCCCTTTGCACAAGATGCCAATAAGGTATTATGGGCGACTATAAGTCGTTCTGCATAAGATGCCGCGTATTGTACGAGCAATTGGAGTTAGCATCGATATTTTGCTTTTATTATCAATTTTTTTTCGATAAACACCGTCAAAGTGTTTCAAAGCAACACGAATTGTGTGGCGGCTGTTAACGATTTTTTTCGAACACCGTGCACATTTTTGGTGCCGATGAAGAGAAATAGCATAAAGGGTTAGCGAAAATTCTAATTGAAAAAAAATGAAAAAAAGAGAAAAGAACGAAGGAAGAAGATTTATCGGAGGAAGATTTAGGGTGTCCCCAATAAGTTTCTTTCCTAGCACTTTGCGCTTATTTATTTAGCCGTTTATGACATCGGTTTCAGTCATCTTCCCAGAGCCTTTGTAGCACAAAAAAAAATGAAGTTCGCACATCATGGTGTATGCAAAGTGCCTCTATATCTTTGAAAAAAAATATACAACAAATAACCATTCATGAACTCATATGTCAGTGTTAAAGTCCCACACTATAATAAAAAATCTTATGTATTTTCTTCTGTCATTTTACTTTTTCATTAATTTAAAATAAACCAATTTTGTTAAATTTAAATAAAAAAGAGAGAAATTTACGCGACATATAATAATTTTAAGAAACTCGTCCCTTCTTTTTTTTTTTTACCAATCTTAAATTGTCGAGAGGAAAGTTCGGGGGGGTCCTCCTCGAAGGCGAAACCGGGAGGGAAGGCGGAGACGGGGAGATCGAGATCGGCGAAACCGAGGACGCGCTCCCCGTTGTTGGCGAGAACGTAGCAAGATTCCGTGTACGCCTCCTTGATCTCGTCGTCGAGCATCCTCGTTTCGTTGTCGAACGCCACCGTCGAGCATCGTTCCAGAACCCTCTCGGGCGCCCCCTTCAAGAAGACGACGTGCCTGTTCCCGCACAGATAAACGTTCGCTTGGAATTTGTCCGTCGAATTGAACGGTATCTCGAATATCTGACAGAGAAGTGGGGGAGGGGGAAATTGAATGAGAAATTTATTAAATCGAGAGCAATTGGACAAACCTTTTTGCAAATTTTTCTGTACGTCTCCGCCCCCCCCTTCACCAACACCTCCATACACTTTAACAGAGCGGCGTCGGATGCGTCGCCCAGGATCTTCCTCTTGCTTATGGGCGGTTTCGGTATACCCTCGGGCAAAGGCTCCCACTCGGCCCGATTGCACAGGCTGGCCACCCTAGCCAAGTTGCTAAACCCGGCATCGCGAATATATTTCCTCCACGTGTCGGAGATCATCACCTCTCTCAATTGGCCGCTGTACCACATGTGCCGGACCTGTGGCCAATCAGATTTCAAAAGTAAAATGTTAAAAGTTTCGTCGTATTTTTCCACGACGTTTGAAGAAAAGATGTATATATATTTGTTTGAATTTGGAAGGAAAAGGAATGGAAGCGAGTAAAAAAAAACGTTGAACGTTAATTTCTTTTGTTACTTTGCGCGCGAAGATTATTATCGATAACGAAGAAATTTAATGTAAAAATTGGGGGGGGGGAAGGAGGGAGGGAGGGGAAAACACGCATGTTCGTACGCTTACGGTCATTTTATTTTGGGTGAGCGTTCCCGTTTTGTCGCTGCAAATAACAGCTGTGCATCCAAGAGTCTCGATAGCCTCGAGATGTTTCACCATGCAATTCTTGCTCGCCATTTTGTTGGCTGTCAGTGTGAGACTGACGGTCATAGTGGCGATCAGTCCCTCCGGCACGTTGGCGACGATGATACCGAGAAGGAACGTGATTGAATTGATCCAAGTGTATCCCATCGTGATGGACAGAGTGAAGAACAACATCCCGAGGAAGATGGCCCAGCACGATATTAATTTCATAAAACGCTGGAGCTCGCGCGAGAGCGGCGTCTGCCTCGGTGCCAATTTTGAGGTTAGCTTCGCGATCCGTCCCATCACCGTGTGATCGCCGCGAGCAACTACCACTCCTTTTCCGGTCCCTGTTGCGCGAGATCAACGAGACTTTTAAGAAAAATCGATAGAAACCACGAAAGGGGGATAATAAATAAGAAAGGAAAAACGAAACACAAATTTTGCTTTCCTCACGTGTCTGTTTCTAGAGATACCTTCCACTATGTCCGTTGTGAAGAAAACCATATTCTTAGCTTGCAACACGTCGGTTGTTGGAAGGATGGTGGCCGTTCTTAAAAGCGGAATCGATTCTCCGGTAATCGAAGCATGGTCCACTTTAAGACCTTCATATAATCACAACATATTGTGTATATATTTTTTCTTTTTTTTCTTTTTTTTTTGATGAAAATTAGTTCAAAAGGAAAGAAAGTGAAGGAGACGAACGAGTTTCGAGATTGTTAATATCGAATTAATTATTGAAATTATTTTTCGTCTTTCTTTTATATTTTATACCAGCTGAAGGTATACCAGTGAATAGTAGTATATATTTACGACACAAAGCTACGACGACGACGACGACGACGACGATGCTTTACGGTATGGGTATATGTGTGTGTGTGTGTGTGTTGTGTGTGTTGTGGAGGAAAGAGAAAGGCGAGGACTTTTTTTGCCGAGAAATAAGAAAGTTACGGTTGCAACTGCAAGCGATACGGATTTACCTTGACATTCCAAGATCCTAATGTCAGCGGGTACTCGTTCACCGGTCTCCAAAAGGACAATGTCCCCCACGACTAATTCGGGTACGAACACTTCCTTTTTTTGCCCGTCCCTCAGAACCTTGGCCTTTTGCGGTAACATCTGTTGGAACGATTCTATGATTTTATTACTCTTCGACTCCTGGTAATGGCTGAACATCGCCGTGACTAAAATTAATATGACAAGCACGATACTGAGTCCCAAATGCTCGTTCGACGCTTCACCGTAAGTACTATGTTCCAAAAGATAATTGCACAAGCATAATATAACGCCTATCTAAAGGATAAATCGATAAAACCTTTTATTAGAATTATATTACAATATAATGCCGCCACCATATCGTCATCTCATTATTTATAAGTTACGAAGAGAATGGCGAGGGACAAAGAAATATATATCTCGGAATATACTTTTTTTCCTCCACGGGATATTAATTATACCCATATTAACGAAGAAAATCCTCCGAAACACAGACGTAAGAATTTTAACAAGTTGGAAGGTTTTTTCGGTGGCGTCAGTGTATTTGGACCAGTTTCGGTTAAACGAGCGCGTGCAACGTTCGTGGAAAGGCCATGCGTCGCATCGGTTTCTAATCTTTGTAACAAATCTTCCAACGGTTGGAGGTGAATGTCTGTTTCTATATCACGGCGCAAAGATTCGAGATTAGCATTGGTATGACGTTTTCGTTTGCTAAACCATCGTAATATATTAAAATGATTCATTATAAATATTATTGGGGATAGTGGTTAAAAGAAAAATATATATATATATTTTTTTACATGTATAAAAAATATGATATAACCAACATACGCGTGTTTAATACCAAAACTGATATCGAGATATCGTAACGGATTTTTCAACAGTAACGTATAACGATTCGATTTTACCCTGAATAAAATATATTCGTGTATAAATAATTATTTGTTGTACAAGAATATAACGTTTCGAGTATGTACAAGTTATACGAGTTGTTACGTTTTAAATATTAATCTCATTAATATTTTAAATAAATTACATGAAAAAGGTAAAATAAACTTTGATAAATTAAATTATTCGTACGATCAAATATAATATACAAAATTTATCAAATATTTGATTTAATTCGATTCATGAATAAAAAATTAATTCGTTCGTTGTTACATAAATTTGTAAATTTTTATTATTGGAAATATTTAAACACATTTTTTCCTATTGTAAAAAATTATTAAACGTTTTAATTGTACGTAATAATTGAAATACCGACAGTATAGTAATTGAATGAAGGGAAATGCTCTACTTTATCTACCGAGTGTTTCGAGTGTCGACGAAAGAAAGAAAAAGATGGTGGCGCTGATGTGCAAAGGCCGAAAGCTATTCGAGTCTGAAAACTAGGTAGACGCCACGCAGAGAAAGCAAGTTTTCGGATCGCCATAATAGCGCCATAGCGGTGTGTACATCGTCCCACTCGTTCGTCGTTCGTGACGGGACGCTTACCGACGCTCGGCGTCGTTTTTTGGAGTTTTGATTAATGAGTTAAATATTCCAATCAAATTAAGTGTTCTTGTCGCGATTATTCCTTGCGGCGGATTAGTATTCAAATATACAACGTTCAAGAAGAGTCGAAGAGAAGATCGACGTTGGGGACGCGTGAGTGTGTACTTTGTGGGTGTCTGGTAGTCAAGAAAACAGGCCGGAATGGAGAATAGGCCGGCACCACTTCGCTCTAGGCGAGTCTGCCGATTTTGTTTGACCGAATCAGAACCACTTTGCTTCATTTATGAACGGGATCATAGCAAACCGTTTCAAGTACCACTTACCCTCCAAATCATGTCTTGCGTCGCCATCGAGGTAATTATTCTCCTTTAAAACGGCATCGACTGCCACTGATGTATTTCCTGCCTATCTTTTGTACCATATTCTTTCTTACTTTTAAATATTTTTATCACTCGTTATGTTTAATTCCGTTTTTTTTTTTTTTTTTTTAATTATAATAAAAATATTGATCTTTGTCTAACTATCTCTTATTATCGATATCTTTCATCGAATAAAATTTGGTTTGGATAACGCAGATGTCATATTTACCGATTGAGCAACATATTCAATCTCTTCTTATTGTAATTCAATCGTAAAAAAATCTTAATTCGTTGATACGATCAATATATATCCTATATGTAATAAATGATATATGATTGAAAAAAATTTTAATTTAAAACAATATTCCTTTTTTATTCATTATACGATTGATAAAATCAAGTCATATGTCATCGATAATTTCGTTTTAAGCACTGTGATGGTAAAACGTGAAATCTATCATATTTTTTTTTCTTCTAATATTTTCTATTATCGATATTTATATATATATATATATAATGCATAAATAAATAATATTTTATAAAAATAATATTTCTTGTTTTATGCTACAAATCTTTTTTACTCGTTACAATTATTTAGAATAATAAATTTTGGCGCGAAAATATTAATAAAATTTATAATTTTATATTAAATTTTATCTTATTATTTTTAATAATTTATATTTTATAAAATATAATTTCAACCATGATTCGTGATTGTAATCTACATTTTACTTGCAAAAAATGTATATATAATCTTAATATATTTCATGTTTTCATATGTTTATCTATCTATCTATCTATCTATATATATATATATTAGTTTAATATAATTAGTTATATTATTAT